AAAAAAAAAAAATTGTCTCTCATATTAATTTGCCTTCATCTCATATATCATCCTACTTGAGTTTGGCACTTGAATTATAAATACGAGTTGATTCTATTTTTCATCCTTAAGCATTCCCTTACTAGTATTGGGTTATATAAGTTAGTGTTTTGCCTAATCCATCTTATGTCTTTTCTAATCATTTATTTATTTTTTTATGAATTTTTAAGTATTTATTTATTTATGTAGAATTCTATATATATATATATATATAAATGATGGGAAAGTTTTCTTTCTTTCTTTCTTTCTTCCGTTCTTTTATGTTCGTGTAGGATCTAATTAGTGATGGAAAAGAGTAGGCGATCGAGAATTTCACTTCGAAATCTCATTGTGCAAAAACTTCCACAACCACAATTTCAGACTCAAGGTGAGCTGCATTTTTTATCTCCCATTCATTCTGAACATATTTGTTTTCCAAATCAAAACATTGGCCAATTAATGTATACAATCTCCAGGTAAAATAAATTTGTGTACTCCAATTTCCATTTCTATTAGGCACTTGTTAAGACCATGTGGTTTGTTCTTTTTTTCAACTTTCTAGATAAAATTGTTTGCCGGTTTTTTTTTTTTTTTTTTTTGAAGAGTATTTTGGTTTAGTAAATTTATTTTATGATGAACCAAAATTTATTAAAAGGAGTATTACAGATATTTCAATTCTAGCGTACGAGAGGCATAAAAAAAGGAAAACAGCAATAGAAGAAAAAAAAAAAAAAAGGATTAAAGCAAAATCTTCCAACGCAAACTTCAGCTATAAAAAATGGTGCCTTTTTCCAAAACTGTGTTTATGAGATTTAACCATTCAGTTGTCTATATTTTTTCCTGCTGTTGTTTGCCTCCTTTTATGGTAAATAAGTGTTGATTTACATAGAAATGAATCATTATATTTTGGGTATTAACATTATTTACATGCAATTTGCTACTTTATTACTTGGACTAACTTCGTCATATTTTATTTCTTGTTTGCTTTCTTACGTGTTTTATATATAACAGTCTTTCCATATGAATAATTGTTTCTACGAATTAAGTTGTATTCACTGTTCTCATCTCAGTAAACAATCTTACTTCAATGGATAAATCTTGGATAAGCCTTGAAAAAAGGAAATCCTTGAGATACGAACGAGGAGCTTTGGGTTTTATTGAGTTTGCCTCAAAGCAACAAACTAAAGATGGAAAAATCAAATGTCCTTGTACGATTTGTGGCAACGTAATAGAGCTGTCTAAAGAAGAAGTGTTTGATCATATCATATGCAAAGGATTTCTTAGAGGTTATGTTCATTGGGTATGGCATGGTGAGGGTATTGGATCATCTACTACATCTAAGGGTGTCAGTCACAAACAGGAAGTGGGGTTCCAACACGACTTGCATGGTTTGCTGAATGATGCAAAAGCCGATATGAATGTTGATCCGGTAGATACAAGTACTGGGATGAAAGATGACCATGGTAAAAGACGGCAGGGTAAATATGGAAGTAAAAACCTGAAAGGCTATGTTCAACGTAAGAGAATGATAGCAAAATCCAAGAAAACAGCTTCATCGCCCATCAAGACTGGACAACTCAGGGGGGACCAACTCCAAGAACTAATGGAAAAGATGGTAGAGGGCGTGGCTCATCTCGTATCAATGTTAAAGGAACAAAACCCAAATATGACTTTTAGTTCTCAAGTGATGGGAGCATTACAAAAAACACAACAAATTGTTGGGATACAGGTATTTTATGAATTCCATTCAGAATCCGTATTGTTCATGTTCACAATAAATTTTTTTTTTTTTTAAATTGCTTTATAGGTTCCAAGTACAAGCAATGCATGATGCAACAAATAGTGCCGGTCGAGCTGGAGGAAGGTAAGCATGCATGCATCTAATATATTTTTGTTTGATTTATTTTACATAGAGACTGGACATGAGTTAATGTGGTTGTTAACTATTTATTAAACTTTTTTGCAGGTAACTTGTAGATATCTGGTGGATGTGGGATTTAGTAGATAAACCATGAGTGATTTTGGAGAAACTTTCTCAGCTGAACTTTCTCAACATTATATGACAATTTAATGTTTTAAGCTATTTTGTTGGATAGTTTAATTTGTCATTGGTTGGTATGTTGTGATTTCTAGTTTTTCATTTGGATTTTGATTTATGTTTTTTTTAAAAAAAAATTAAAAATAAAATTAACAAGTATTATAAATTAATTAAGATCTCATTTAGTATGGTTGTAATTTTAAGTTTTTAATTTTAGTTTTCAAAAATTTAGAAATCTTAGAATAAAATTAAGTAGTTCTACTCTTTTTATTTCAAAATAATTGTTATTTTTTTAATTTTTTTTCAAATTAAAGATTTGGAAACAATATTTGTATTTATCAAAAATACCCCTAAAAAATGAGATAAAAGATAAATATATACTTTTTGTGATTGCATGATTAACTAAAATGAAAGGATAATAATAGGGTTAAAATAATAAAAGAAATATTTGTCTATATATCTTAAAAAATAAAAAATAGTGATTGTAGATAAATTCAAAATAAAAAAATGATAATCTTTTTTGAGATAGAAGAGTATAAATTAATTAAGAGTTTTGAGTATTTGTTTCATAAAATTTTATACTCAATAATTTGGCAATCTTAATTTTTAATTTTGTTTTTTAATTGTTAATTTTGCTTGCTTAAATTTTAGAAACTGAAATTCAAAATTCGAAATTGCAACCATATTAAATAGACCTTAAATTTTTAATTTTTTATATTAATTTTTTATATTAATTTTTTATATTAATTTTTTATATTAATTCTAAAAACTTATACTCAATAAGTTTGATAATTGTGATTTTTAATTTTAATTTTGATATTAAAATTTGATTGTTAAATTTGACAACTAGAAGTAAAAAAACTGCAACTATACTGAGAGCAGTGATACACTAGTAAAATTTAAGCCTTCAACAACATGGAAGCATGTTGCTGAAAGTGTCTCTCATGTTGCTGAAAGTTCTTCAGCAATATGGTTTTTGTTGGTAAAAGCCTTGTTGGAGAGGCCTTGCTGGCTGATACATCACCAACGAGCAAATTGTTGCTAATACATCAACAACGTAATGCACGATGCTGAAAATATAGTTTCAGCAATGTGCTCCATGTTGGTGAAATTGTTCACCGGAATCCGACAAGAGTCATCGGTAAGTGAAAAAGAGTTTTCAGCAACTTAAGCCATGTTACTGAAAATATGCTTTCAGCAACATGGCTTATGTTGCTAAAAGTTAAAGGGGGTGCATGTACCCCGCTTTTTAGATACAAAAACTATGTTGTTGATAGTGCATTATCAGCAACATAGTTCTTGTTGCTGATAGTGAGGTGAATAATACATTAATTTATAATATTATTATTACATTAATTAAATTTGAAATTCACCTTTTTTTTATAATTACCAAATATTAAATTTTTTGATATCTCACATATAATATAAATATTTATTATTTCTATATTATTAAATTTAAATTAAATAA